CAGCCACCCCCCCTCCTTAGTTACAAGTGGCAGAAACAAATCAATCCAACTCCCAACGAATCCAATACAATGGAAAACAACAACAGTTGGGTGATGCAGGTTCTGACACAGCGGGTGTCAAAGAAGAAACATTTTAAAGGAAAAGTGAAATGCAAGGCAAGAATGTTATTACGCACAAGGAGAGTTGGAACGGAAAATGATGCTAGAAGGGGTAAGACAACCTGGGGATCAGAGAATCCTCGGGTTGGAAGGGACCTTGGAGGTCTTCCAGTCCAACCCCCTGCCGGAGTCCTCATCCCATCTCGGACCAATAATTGTCCAATCTTTTCTTGAAAACCTCCAGTGACGGAGCACCCACAACTCCGGCAGGCAAGAAGATTACATTACCTGGATAATTCTCTGCGAATGCTCTCCAACGCAGGGCACGGTGTGGAGTTGCTGAATTCTCTTGACCCTCCAGGGTAGGGACTTCAGCACTGAAGCGGCTCTGGAAAAGGCCAGGCTGCGGACGTCGCTGCCACAGAACCTGGCCTCTTCTGCCATGGTTTCTAGCGCGTCCTAGCAAAAGGCCAGCAGCCACATTAACCCCTGGAGGAACCCTTGCCAAAACCAAGTCCAAACCCTCAAAAGAGGGTTCAAACCCTTAGACCTCCCAACGATCCAGCTACTCCCTGCAGCTGAAGCCCCCCCCCCATTAACAATTAAAAAGGATGATGCCTGAAAACAAAATAAGGCACTTAAAAAAGACTGAAATGGAAGTATGAACAAAAAGAATCACAAAAAAAAGAGCAAGTATATTAAGTCCAAGGCCTCTTTTGAACTTAACCTGGCCTGGAATATCTGACAAACCTCTCCTATCTGAACGTACCTTACCTTAAAAAGCTAGTTCAGTCCTTCCAGTTGCATAGCAGTGAGGGCTGTACCATGTGTCCCATCAAAGGTGGAATGCGCAAGGATTCAGGAATGGGGGGGCATCAAAATACCTTGAACCCAACCAAGTCACTGTCACCAACATGTTTTACCACATTGGCATCATTGTGGTTAGGAATGGGGATCCCGTGGCTTGGTCTACGCCAGTGTTTCTCAACCTCAGCAACTTGCTGAGCTGGGGAATTCTGGGGGTTGAAGTCCACCCGTCTTCAAGTTGCTGAAGTTGAGAAACAGGGTCTACCCCAAGTGAGTCAAATTACCGTGAGTGCGGTGTTGTGGTGCAGCAGAGGAGTCCGTCTCTGGCAGATGTAGGGAGCCACCTGGCCTTTCTCTTCTAGCGGCTCTGCAGGGGCAGTCACCTGAGCCAAAGGGGACAGAGAAGATGCGTTCAGAATTTCCAAATCACCCTTCAACGAAGGCGCAATAAGAGTGTTATAAACCTCAATTTTGTGTCTCGGTTCACATTCTAGCAAAGTCTCAAAGAAATGGGGAAGGGTGCTTAGTCAACCACATGAGTGAAACAAACACGAGTTCCAAGCAGTGCCGTTAATGGAGAAAATGGCCAGATGACCAACTGTTTGTAGAAAAGAGTTCTTAATTCTTTTTCTTTTTTCTTTCAGTTTATTCCCATCACGGAAGCAGCAGTCCGCAACAAAGGAAAATATTCATCCTTTGCTTTGGAGAAGATACAGATGATGAATTCTAATTAAAAAAAGCCAGCCAGTCTATCTTTATTGAGGATATGAACCGGCACAAATAAAAGCAAAGACATTTTTAAAAAAAACACGTGGCCCATAACAGCGTCCCTTTGAGGGAGCTGGAATATAATATTTATTAGTGCCATTAAAGCACTCAGAACCAGCACCAGACGTTTATGCCTCCTAATAAAGTTTAGCACACCTTAGGTCTCTTAAAGAATGCCCCACCCCTAACAAAAAGCAGGAAACCTGGCCTTGCCCATTTCCAACCCCATTCTGTGACCATCCCCACACTCTGTCATTCTTGGATGCCAGAAATAATACTGCATTTACCCAAAAAAGAAAGGGCGGATTTTTGCCTTCCAATAATTCATTGTAAAAAAGGGGGGTTGTTTTAGATTTGTCATGAATACAGTAGGAGGACAAATGAGCTTTTCTCGTCGTCTCATCGTTTCTTTTGTTGGGTGGAGGGATCGTCTTGAATTCAGGGATTCTTCCTTTTGGGTAAATATGAAAGAAGACATGCCCCATCACTGGAGGACTCAAGTTAAATTAGTGTTTCTCAACCTTGGCAGGTTGAAGATGTGTGGACTTCAACTCCCAGAATTCCCCAG